TGTAAGAACACCTTTCTGCCTTTCTGGTAAGTCAGCCAGGTGATGAGCGCGATGCTTTGTTAAAGGGCCTCTGACCCGGCAAAAATATTTTTTTTTATGCTAGGCGTTGAAATGGCATGTGAGGACATTACAAAAGAATTGTTTTACTATAGAGGTGCGTAGTTTTTTTTTTTTATAAAGAATAGAAACACGAGGTACAATTCAAAGTTCCCGCCCACTGTGACGTAACAGTGTACCGCAAGGTGTCGGGACTGTCAGAAGGGAGGCATCGCCGGAAGTCACGTGAGTTGTATCCCTCCTCGTGCTTACCGCGAGCGCGTGCAATATTTTTTTAAATATTTTTGTTATTCTCCGCACCTCGACGAGTGATATCCAAACATACAAGGTTTCTTTCATTTGCTTTTCATCGCTTAATGTTGCTGTAAAGGTAGAAGAAGAGGAGTCAGTGAATTGACGTGATCAACTACAATGCCTAGAAGGTGCTGTGTGAAGGACTGTCCCGGTATTTCAGCAACTGAAGAAGAGATCACACTGCATGCATTTCCGAGAGACGGTAGACATCTTCAGCCTGGAGAGTATACGATGATTCGACGACCTCGGTGTCCGAATCTTCAGCAATGCAATTGGGCGTGTCGTACGCTAGCAATCCTAATTTCTGCGAGCGTTCTACAATTTTTTTTTTTCAAAACTTGATAGCTTTTTTTGTGCCCAGTATAGCTCTGTATCATCGGACTGACGGCACGCACTCGTACACTGGCTTGTACTCGCAACGCTTTCCTCATTGACCTCCATCACGTCGATCCACTGACTCTTCGTCCTCAACTTTTACAGCACGCAAACTGACCAACGGTGCAGCGATAAAGAGCTAGTGGAACTGAAACTTCGTTTTCTACAATCGCTCGTACAAAGAGCAGAAAATAATAATAAAAAAAAGTCGTAGGCACGGTCATGGAGAGCACGAGGAGTGAAACTCACGTGACTTCCTGCGAAACCCACTTTTAGTGACGTATGTCGATGCCTCCCTTCTGACCGCCCCGACACCTTGCGGTACTCTGTTACGTCACAGTGCACTGGCGGGAACTTTGAATTGGGCCTCCTATTTCTATTTCTTATAAAAAAAACTACGCACCTCTATAGTGAAACAATTTTTTTGCAATTACCTGACATGCCATTTCAACGCCACGCATGAAAAAAAAAATTTTTTTGTCGGCGTGTCAGAGGTTCTTTAAGTGTCGGATATGAATCCGAACAGTCTCCTGTGTACGAATGACCAACTAGCCCACTAGATGATTTTAATACGAATGGCTATTATTGGAAGGCAGAGAGATTCGGCAATGGTGTCAATAGTAAATGTAGATTTAGGGACTCCGAGACATACTCTGAGTGATTGTGCTTGAAGAGATTGGAGCTTTTCAGGTTGGTAGGACAAAGACCATGCATGACAGGAACGCTGTAGCGAAGAACTCCAACAAATAAGGCGTTGTATAAACGAAGGAGGGCCGCTGTTGAAGCACCCCAAGTTGTGCAGCTTATAAAGCGTCCCAAGCTGATAAACGCAGAAAGTTTGATTTTGAGGTACGACAAATGGGAGCTCCAGGTTAACCCTTTGTCGATATAAACTCGAAGAAATTTATGAGCTGCGACGTGTGGAATAGTAGCACCGTCAATTGATAAGGGGTAACGATCTACTTTCATTCTAGTGAATGCAATAGCGGCAGATGTTGCAGGGTACAACTCGAGGCCTCGTGTGGACCAAAACCTTGATATGTTGTGGAGAGCAGCTTGTAGGCGCAAATGTATTCGCTTAGTAGACATTGCTGACGTCCAAAGACACACGTCGTCGGCGTACAGCGAGATATGTATAGAATCCGGGGATGAGTGCATGGAGACCACGTGATGGAGACCAATGAGGGTGATATTAAATAGGACTGGACTCAGAACCCCTCCTTGAGGAACACCTTTAGTGAGAGTATGGTGGCTGGTATCTCCATCACTCGTGCGCACAAAGATTGTCCGATTGTGAAGGTAGTCGGCAATCCAGTCATGAAGGCGACCTCCGATACCTATTATTAGGCCTTGCAGAACTTGTTAACGTAGCAGCTTGGGCGAATTGGTTGCACATGATAACACACACCACAGCGCACTATAGCAAATAACACTCACACCTTACACACGAAAAATAAAGCAAAATTCAAACAAACCGCGCTGACTGACAACTCTTTTTATATAACTTTGTCTTCTTCAACCTCTAGCACCACCGAATTTCCCAATTCACGCGCACCGATCTCCTAGATGCCTAAAAATGTTTTCTCTTTTTCTGTCAGGTGTAAAGCTGGTGTACTTATACAGTTGTTATAGTTCCTGGCGATATGTTCTGCTTCGATAATTTCTTGAGTTAATTGGTTTCTGTTCCTGCCTAAAATTGTACAGGATGGCAAGTGAACGTCGCACCCACAATCCCGGCAGTGTATGCCTAGATGCCCTGAGTTGGGTCTGGAGCTGTTGTTGTTGTGTTCCCGGAGCCTATCGTTAAGGCATCGTCCGGTCTGACCAATGTACACTTTCCCGCACGAAAGGGGAAATGAGTACACCACTTCATCGGCACACTCAACGAACATGTTCTGATGGTTTTTGGTGCAGCATACTGTTCGGTGGAAATCAGGTGAGTTGACTTGTTTACACAAGTTGCCAAGCTTATTGGGAGCAGTAAAGACGACAGTGATGTTGAACTTGTTTGCAATTTTCTTGATTCCATGGGAGAACCTGTGGAAGTATGGAAGCACGACAGGTCTCGTAGATCTTTCTCTGGCTCTTGGTGTGATATATGATGTCGTATTTTTTGTTTTCAAGATGTTCTCAGCAATCGATGTTAATAATGACGTGGGATATCCGGCGGATGTTAATCTGGAAATTTGGGCATCGAAGCTTATTGAAATAGAATGCTCGCAAGATTTTTGAAGAGAGTTACTTAGACATAATTTGACGATTCCTCTTTTTACTAGCTTAGAATGTGCCGAATTGTACGGAATAATTGTTTTTTTATTCCTTGGCTCATATTTCCAGCATATATGAGTGTGTTGTAAATTGAGCCTGAGATCGAGGAATCGGATTGATCTTTCTTCCGGAAGCTCATAAGTAATTTCCAGTGGTTTTAGGCAGTTTTTAAAAGTAGATAGAACACCGGCAATAGTGGTTGGAACATTACTGTTCTCGGCGTCAAGAATGATCAAATAATCATCGACGTACCGAAATACTCTAGCAACTCTGGTGGAGTCAAGCCAATTGTTCAAGAGTCTGTCTTGGTGCGCGAGATAGAGATCACTTAGCACTGGGGCAATGCACGACCCAATGCAAACACCTTTCTTCTGTAGATACGTTTTTTCTTTCCAGGTAATAAAGGTGGAGTGAAGATAAACCGAGAGTAGATGTAGAAAATTGTCTTCGGAAATACCCGCAGAATTTTGGAACGCTATGCCACCAAAAGAATCAATACTCTCTTCTACACATCGCAAAAGACCGTCCTGGGGCAGTTCGTAGTACAGGTCTTTTATGTCGATGGAAAAAGCTTGAAAACAAAAAATACGACATCATATATCACACCAAGAGCCAGAGAAAGATCTACGAGACCTGTCGTGCTTCCATACTTCCACAGGTTCTCCCATGGAATCAAGAAAATTGCAAACAAGTTCAACATCACTGTCGTCTTTACTGCTCCCAATAAGCTTGGCAACTTGTGTAAACAAGTCAACTCACCTGATTTCCACCGAACAGTATGCTGCACCAAAAACCATCAGAACAGGTTCGTTGAGTGTGCCGATGAAGTGGTGTACTCATTTCCCCTTTTGTGCGGGAAAGTGTACATTGGTCAGACCGGACGATGCCTTAACGATGGGCTCCGGGAACACAACAACAGCTCCAGACCCAACTCAGGGCATCTAGGCATACACTGCCGGGATTGTGGGTGCGACGTTCACTTGCCATCCTGTACAATTTTAGGCAGGAACAGAAACCAATTAACTCGAGAAATTATCGAAGCAGAACATATCGCCAGGAACTACAACAACTGTATAAGTACACCATCTTTACACCTGACAGAAAAAGAGAAAACATTTTTAGGCATCTAGGAGATCGGTGCGCGTGAATTGGGAAATTCGGTGGTGCTAGAGGTTGAAGAAGACAAAGTTATATAAAAAGAGTTGTCAGTCAGCGCGGTTTGTTTGAATTTTGCTTTATTTTTCGTGTGTAAGGTGTGAGTGTTATTTGCTATAGTGCGCTGTGGTGTGTGTTATCTTGCAGAACTGTTGAGTGATGAACATCATCAAAGGCTCCCCGAATGTCGAGAAATGCAGCCTTTGTGAGCTTGCCACGGAGCCTCTGATCATCGACATGAGCAACTAGGTTCATGATATTGAGGACGAGTTCGTCCTTGGTGATCTCGTCGTTGTGGCTGGATCTGTTCATTAGGGCCGGTTTGCTCATCTTGCGGCTGCGGACGCGGCTGCGGCCAGGAGGGATTTTTCTGTCACGTGACCAGCTCCATGGGGACAAGAAAGCACCTAGCGTCCCTTCCTAATGGCGGAGAAATCCGTGTCGCTTCGAGTACAAAAGTCTAATTTCGCTCGCAGAAACTGACTGCACAGGCTTTCAACTGAGGTCCAATTGACCGCCCCATCATACGTTAGGAGCGGCAGGTAAAGTTACAGCCAGGGAACGTAAATATAAACCAAAATAAAGGAAAAATCACGCAAAACAAAAGCGGTGGTTGTGTATTTATATATATATGGTGCCAGCGCCGACACGAGCAGCATCTGATGTAGTCGAAGAGGATTGAGCGCACGTGCGGAGTGTGCAAGACGTTCGAAACATGAGCTCCGTAGGTGTTCAGAGCTTGTGTGCTCTGGGCGCGACGCGCCAGCCGGGCAGACGAAGCAGACGAGGGTAGACGAAGCAGACTTACAACGTTTATTACCCTAGCATCAAGTGGCGAAAAGAATCCCCGCGTCTCGCGGCGCACGCGCTTATCTAGATCACGATGCGCTCCTGGCGCCATCTCTTGGTCTCCCCTACATCTCCCCCCGGAGCTCGTTACTGCACTCTAGTTACACAGTTCGAAAGAAAGCGATGTTTACAAGTCCAACCGTCTTGGTGGCTTGATGGCACGTCCATAGCGTGATCTTGTAACACCTTGCGGGGAAGATGCACGATCCAGAGAGGGTGAAGAGCAGCCCGCAGTGGGCAACTCCCCAGGCTGACCTTCTTCGGGTGGTTGTCCTGGAGGCTCTTCGGCAGCAGGAAGCTCGACAGACTCCCTCGCAGTAACGGTCGGCGAGAAGGGCACCAGGTGCCGGCGGTTTCGCTGTAGGATTCCCTTGGGAGTCTCTACGACGTACGACCGTGGTCGTTGGGCAGGGCTCAGGACGCGTGCTTGACAGCTGGCATCCGTGACCCAGACGCTGTCACCTGGCTTGAGAGGATTAAGAGAGCGAGCGTTGTGCCGGCGATTGAAGTCTCTCGCCTGCCTGACCTTATTCCTGGAGTCTTGAGCCCGGAACCTCTCGTGGCTTGGTTGAACTGGTGCGAGTCGCTGCGGCAGAGCAGGAAGACGCGTCTGTAACCGCCGACCCATCAGCAACATGGCAGGAGAGACTCCCGCGACGCCCGGAGTGTCCCGGTAGGTGAGAAGCGCTAGGTATGGGTCTTCGGACTTGTACAAAAGATCCTTCACCGTGCGCACCATGCGCTCTACTGCGCCATTACTCTGCGGGTACCGAGGGCTACTGGTCTCATGCTCGAAACCGTATGACAGAGCAAAGTTTGCGAATTCCTGTGAAGCAAACTGCGGACCATTGTCTGTCCGTACAACGTCCGGTATCCCATGTCGGGAAAAGCAGCTCTTGATAGCCGCGATAACCGCTGAGGCTGACGTAGAGCTCAAGGAGACGACTTCCGGAAACCGAGAGTAATAGTCCACCATGAGAACATAATCACGGCCTTTCAGATGAAACAAGTCAATGGCTAGGCGTTGCCATGGCCGATCTGGTGTAGGCGTTGACATCAAGGGCTCCGAGTGTACAACCCTTGTTTCCGCACACTTGTCACAGCTGGTGACCAAATGTTCGATGTGGCTGTTGCAGTTAGGCCACCAGACGCTTTCTCTGGCTCTCTCCTTACAGCGGCGAAGTCCTTGATGGCCGTCGTGCAGAAGGGCCAGGACGTTGCTACGCAGAGAAGCAGGAATAACGAGGCGGCAGTCCAGCAGAAGAAGGTCCTCCGAGACTGTCAACCTTCCTCTCTCTTTCCAATACGGCACCAAGTTGGGAGGCAGCTTCCTCTTGTCTGGCCATCCCTCTTGGCAGTAGCGGACGACGAGAGAACATTCTCCATCTTCAGCTTGTCGACGACGAACCTCTTCCAGCCTGTTAGCGAGGGGAGGTGGAAGACCTTTAAATATCTCGCTAGCGAAAATTTCGACGGAGAATACTGTAGAAGAAGACCGGACATCGCAAGGGGCACGTGACAGCGTGTCCGCCGTGGCAAGAAGTCTACCTGGTACGTGCCGAACATCGAATTGGTAGCGCATCAGCTTTATGCGCATTGGCTGAATTCGTGGTGGCAGCAACTCCAGCTCCTTTTTTCCCAGCAGGGCGACGAGAGGCAGGTGATCTGATTCCACGGTAAAACTAAGCCCACGCAGATACTGGTCGAACCGAAGAACAGCCCAGGTCACGGCGAGAGCTTCCTTTTCTGTCTGACTGTAGCGTGCTTCAGTCGGAGTCAAGTACCTTGAAGCGAAGGCCACAGCACGACGAGCTCCGGACGGCTGATCTTGCAGCAGTACCGCTCCCAGGCCAAATGAGCTTGCATCTGCGGAAAGTATCGTAGGATAGCTTGGATGGTACTTTGCCATGCAGGTTTCCGAGCTCAGCATAGCCTTCAACCGCTTGAACGCGTCATCTTGGCTTGCTCCCCAGGACCATGCGCTTGACTTGTTTAGGAGTGAACGGATGGGGGCAGTTACGTCCGAAAGGTGCGGCAGGAAGCGTCCAATGTGGTTCACCATCCCTAGTAGACGGCGAACGCCTGCAACGTCCGTTGGCGGAGGTAGCTCCCGAATGGCTCGAAGCTTGTCGGGATCCGGCGAGATACCATCTCCATCGACGACGACTCCGAGGAACTTGACCGAGGGAACCCGGAATTCACACTTCTGGTCGTTGAGCTTGACCCCGGCTTGCTCAAGTCGTCGGAGTACCTCAGCAAGGCGTTGATCGTGCTGTTCAAGGTCTCTACCGTAAACAAGGACATCGTCGATCATATTCACGACGCCAGGCAGCCCCTCCAGGACCCGTGACATTTGACGTTGAAAATATTCGGGTGCAGACGCCAGACCAAATGGCAGACGACGGTAGCAGTAGCGACCAAACGGCGTGATGAACGTCGTTAATTCTTCGCTTGCGTCGCTGAGCTTGATTTGGTGGAAACTGGAGGTCGCGTCGAGTTTTGAAAACACTTTGGCGTCGCCTAGCTGCCCCAGGATCTGGTCAACCGTCGGCAGGACGTATCGCTCCCGCTCGATGACTTGGTTTAACTTGGTCAGGTCGACGCACAGCCTGTACCCACCCGACGACTTGGGGACGACGACAAGTCCGGAGCACCATGCTGTCGGCTTGTCAACCCTTCTGATGACACCTTGAGCTTCCATGGCATCAAGTTCTCTCTTGACGACGTCGAAGAGCGGCAGCGGTATTCGTCTTGGAACGCTCAACGAGTACGGCTGAGCCCCTGACTTCAGACGAATGATGTACTTTTCTTAGAGTTCGCCCAGTTCTTTAAAGATATGGGCGTCAGAAGATGGAACACAGCTGACACGAGCGTCGGAAGACGGGACACGTCCATCCGTTTTTCCGGACTCGGCGGAGGTGGTGTTCACAAACTTGACCACGCCGAGAGCTTCTATCGCAGGTAACCCTAGAAGCGGTGTAGTTTGAGCCCGCATGACGTAAAGCTGTTGGACGGTGCGCTTGTCCTTCCACGCCAGAGTAGCTTGGAAAGTGCCCAAAACAGGCAGTGGCTGGTTCCCCGGGCCGATAAGCTCTCCTTCCACTGCGTCGAGCTCGCGAGGAACGCCTGGAAGCGACGGCGGAACGACGGTGACGTCTGCTCCCGAGTCCACCTTGAACCTTGTCACGTGGCCGTTGACGCTTACTTCGACGTATCTTGCCCGTTGCGTACGAACAGAGCAGAGTTCGACGAAGCCCAACTTCTCCTTGCGCTTCTTCGCGCGACAAACTTCTGCAAAATGACCTGCTTTTTACAGAAATTGCAAGTTGCCTTCCGTGCTGGACAATCCTTGCGGTCATGCGCAGAACGCCCACAATTCCCACAAACTGCGTTGTCCAAACGCTGCTGCCGGTTACGTGCGCGCGACGACGGAGTGGATGACGCAGTCTTTTTCTTCGTCGCGTCGACGTTCAAGGCCGCTGCAGCTTGCGCCGAACGAGAAGCGCGCTCCCTCTCAGCATCTTCGTGCTGGCGGGCTTGTAAAAGTGCTTCGTCAGCGGTGAGCCGTGTGGAACGGCACAGCTGGTCCGATAGCTTCTCGTCCAATAAGCCGACTACGAACTTGTCACGCACTAGGCGGTCTTCTATCTCGGGGCTGTTGTAGTTGCAGCGTCTGATTAGGGTTCGAAGCTCCGTGAAAAACGCGTTGACTGTTTCCCCAGGCTGCTGAGTCCTGCGGTGGAATCTTCGGCTTTCGTAAATTTCGTTCGCCGGATGAACGAAGTGTTGAGTCAGCCGCTCCTTGACGGCGGCAAACGGTTGCGTCTCCGGGGTTAGCACGCCAAGCGAAGCTAGTACGGTACGAGCTTGCGGACCCATGCAATAAAGCAACGTTCTTACTTGCGTTTCGTCGCTTGCAGAACGTAGACCGGTGGCGAAGGCGTAGTCCTCGTAGGTTTGAATCCACGTTGTCCATTCGCCTGGGCTCGTGAAGACGAACGGCGACGGCGGTTGAAGCCCCGTGGCCCCGAGGTGGACGCTCTTTTCTTCGTCCGGCATGGCGGTAGCGCTGACTACGAGCAGGTGTACCCCACTTCTGACACCATGTTCAGAGCTTGTGTGCTCTGGGCGCGACGCGCCAGCCGGGCAGACGAAGCAGACGAGGGTAGACGAAGCAGACTTACAACGTTTATTACCCTAGCATCAAGTGGCAAAAAGTATCCCCGCGTCTCGCGGCGCACGCGCTTATCTAGATCACGATGCGCTCCTGGCGCCATCTCTTGGTCTCCCCTACAGTAGGAGCGTCTACAACGGCCCTTGCTGGCCGCGGACTTTCTGATTCTGCATCTACTGATGAGTACCAGGTTGTACTGCCACCCCTACCGCGTGGTGCACTAGCACTGAACACTGTACTTCTGCACTGTGATGTCAAAAGCCGCCCGTATAGGATTGAAGACTTCAAACGTGAGCTGGAACTCCTGAACGTCCTCCGAGAAGTGGCTTCAATAGGAGCATACCAGATGAATCACGTGTGGATCGTCACTCTGAGATCATCAGCTGCCACGCTCAGGTTAGTCGCTGCAAAGGAGCTTAAAATCAAGGACCGGCGATGGATAGTCATTGATCCGAGCAACGCTGAAGTTAGAGTCAAGATCCATTGGATCCCATTTCACGTGTCGAACGATGCAGTACGCAAGGCGTTGGAGCCTTTCGGTAAAGTTACAGAAGTAACCCGGGACACCTGGATGGCCGAAGGTTTCCAGGGCATCGAGTCTGCGACAAGGCTTGTGCGGATCACCCTCCAAGAGGGGACAACGATCGACAGCCTACCGCACCAGTTACGGCTCTTTGGAGCGAACTGTTTGATTGTGGTCCCTGGACGCGCACCGTTATTCTTGCGCTGCAAGCGTACTTGACACATCCGACGAGACTGCCGTGTGCCGCGTTGTTCAGAGTGTCATCGCTTCGGACATGAGGCAGAAGACTGCGTGAGGACCTACGCTTCAGCTGTCGGACGTCAAGAAACTGATCCGGTAAATGAAATGATCATGGACGCTGACGAGGCGGAGAGCACAGCAGCCAGCACTGCTCCTGCAGTCCTGAACCCTGTATGCAACGATTTTCGCCCTGAAGAACAAGACCGAAAGCCTGGTGAAGAGGAGAAGACATCTGTCACAACAGACGAGAAGAAAGTCTCAAGCTCACCAGAGCCTCAAATTGAAGAAAACAGCAATCTGGAGCAGCATTCAACCACAGAGGAGGCCCCGGAAGTCGTCGAAATGCCTGACGCGAGTCAGGCTAGCAAGCGATCCCTGGAAAGATCATCCGAGATGCCGGAAACCGAGAATGAAGTTAGCGAAAAGGAGGTGCCGTGGAAAAAGTTTACTAGAAGAAAAGGTCGTTATAACGCGCTTCGTACCCGACAGAACTTGCAGTAATGGTGCAAGGTGAAAGACTGGATTCATCTACAGATGGCACTCTGCAACTATCAACTTAGGCAAGTATAATTGGGGAAAGGGAAGAAACTATTAGTATCTTGGGTATCCCGCCTGTGTGCAACCTTTCCTCTTAGAAATGTTTAAGATTCCCGAACCTTGTCGATTCGCGTCTTTGAATGTCCGGGGATTGAATTCCAGCCGAAAGCAGTACCAGTTACAGCGGTTGCTAGCTAAAGAGCATCTGGATATTTTGGCAGTTCAAGAGACGAAAATGTCCGAAGACGAACAGGTTGAGCGAACATTGCGGCCATTTCTTTTGAGGTACGAGGTTTGTGTCCGCCCAGCCGTTGGTGTGTCAGCAGGGTGCTTTCTCTTTCTAAAAAAGTCCTTAAATATTTCTAATTTGTCAGTAATTTCTCATGATCAGGGTCGTTTCATTATTTGTGATTTTACTATGTCAGAACTGTCTTGGCGAGTTATTTGTATCTACGCTCCGAACAAGGTGAAAGATCGAGAACTTTGCTTTAATTATCTTCGCCAATACTTAGAATGTG